CAATAAATTGAATTTTTCTTTAAAAACCGAGGAGTGAAATTTACTTAAATTCAAAAGAGAACATAGATTCTGGGATCTAAGTAAGTGTTCTGTTTTAAATCTTTAACACTTTATTGGTGAGTAAATTTCACTGGCAATTTGAGAGGGGATTTACAGTCTTATTCAAGAAAGAATACTTACAGAAGTCAGAGGGAATTCATGCTTCATTGCTTTCCTGAATATATTGAGAGAGACTTCAGCATATGCTCAAATGTTTTCTTAAACTGGGAATTGAAAAGGGTTTATAAAATTAAAAGGCAGTATCATTGCAGACATTATTAAAAATTCAGATTAGTGTTGTTATTATGTAGATGTTTTCTTCAGTAATATCAAACATCACCATAAAATTTACTTTTTCAAATAGCCTCCTTACAGTCATTACAGTAATTGAATGAAAATATAGTCACTGTCGCTCCAGAAGCACTGACTCTTTTAATGTCACTATTTCACACAGCTCAGACATGCACAGCTGGGTTTTTTGCCTCTCTCACTTCATTAATGAACATCCTAACTTTATATAGGGGTATTTGTGGTAAAAGTAAATTAATTCTTGGTCCCACTGGTAGTAAGGTTATACTTTACATAAGAAAGTTTATTGACAATATTTAATATTTCTCTTTGTGTAGTTCTTTCCACATGAACTCATTCTGAATTAAAAGTACATAATATGATTTTTAAAACACCAGCAGGAATTTAATATATATAGCCATAATGTTGGTGAGGAGATGTAAAGATTTTTCAGTGTCATGGCTTTTTCCTGTTACAGGGATTATTTAGTTAGATGCTGTGCACCAACAGATTAATACCTGGTATTACTCATTAGCTGAAATAAAAACATAAAGCTAAATAAAGTAATAATAGCAGTACTAAATATCTTTTCATAATATAATTCATACTTCTATATCAACATATTAAGTGTTACTATTATTAATTTTTAACTAGAAAAATTAAAACTACATAGTTGAGTGAATTCATATGCCTAAAATCTAAGGCTTTAAAGAATATCTCATAAATATTAACAAAAAAATCTATCTTGACTAGTCTTGAATAGACTATCTTGAATAGTCTATATAGCCTCTGAAAATAAAACAGATCATTGCCTTTCAATGATACAAACAATAAGCCAATCTTTTCAATGGTATCTGGTCATGCATTTTCTGCAATTTAGGATGCAGTGCTTTAGAAATTGCCAAATCTCTTCTGAAGGGAGTTTCTCCATGGCATACAATGGGAATATATAATCTAGTGGGAAATTGTAAATGTTAGGTCTACTCCTGAGTTAAATTTTTGTCATACAAATATTCCCTGGATTTAGCACTAGAAATTTTTCTCACTGTTGTCAAATTCTTCATATATTATAAAAATCATTATAGGAGGTTGCTGCGTTGTTGATTTGAAATTTTTGAAAATGTGTTTTTTATATTTAATCAAAATTAGTATTCCATCAAAAATGAGTTTCTTGTTCACTTTGTATAGGTTGGGTCCGGTTACATCTTTTCATGTACTGGAAAATCACAGGATTATAGAATATTCTGAGTTGGAAGGGACCCGTTAAGAACATCAAGTACATCTCCTGTGCAAGACACCCCAAGAATCACACCATGTGCCTCAGGGTGTTGTCCGAACACTTCTTGTACTCTGTCAGGCTTGGTGCTGTGACCACTTCCCTGGGGAAGCTGTTCCAGTGTTCAGCCACTGCCTGGGTGCAAAACCTTTTAGTGATAGCCAAACTAAACCTCCCCTGACTCAGTTTCATGCTGTTTTCTCGAGTCCTGTCACTGGGAATGAAGAGATCAGTACCTGCTCCTCCTTGTCCTGTCCTGAGGGCATTGAAGACCCCAGTGAGTTCTCCCTTCAGTCTCCTCACTTTCAGGCTGAACATACCTGAAACCATTCGAGGTCACATTACAAGTGACCTCGTAAGGTTTCACCTCCAGACACTTCTCCATCCTCATAGCTCTCATTTAGACACTCTCTAATAGCTTGATGTCTTTTTTATATTGTGGTGTCCTAGACTGCCCCCAGCACTCAAGGTGAGGGTGCCCCAGTGCAGAGCAGAGCAGGACAATCCCCTCCCTTGCCCAGCTGGAGATGTTGTGCCTAGGAGACATGGTTGGCCCTCCTATGGTTGGCTGCCAGGGCACTGTTGACTCATATTCCACTTGCCATCAACCAGGATGGCAAAATATTTTTAAATATTTTTATTTTATGCAAATTTAGAGATGGCTTCTTTATTAGCAGTAATGAACTGAAAATCTCTTTACTTATCTAGCTATGTTTCAGTAATATTGAATTTTGTTAACCATTTATACACAGTGGGAATGAGGCCCTAATTTAAATTCAGTACTGATACTGTTATTTGTGGCTAGCATTATCTTTAGTAATTTGATTTTTCATTTCATATGTAAATTAAAGACAAAGAATGTAAAATAACAGTAAAGCTTTCAACTGAAAGCTAGAAAAAGACAATAAAGTAATTAAAATGCTCATTTTCTTCACCTAACCTTATTTCCCAGAATGGCTTTGTTAATGACTAGAAAGTAAGCAAAATGGAATCGATAAGTCATCTGCTCTTTGTTGCAATGATTACCTAGTAGTTTTCTCTTGTAATCTTTTATCTCTCTTTAGTCTTTATTCTGCATGTCAAAATCTAATCACTTTCTGGATTATATGCTTCATACACTCCAAAATGCAGTTCACTGAATAAGTATTGCTGATTTCAACTGAAATGCATTCCAGCATAAAGTTTTCATCCTATGAGATAAAGAGGTTTGAGGGAGAGAGAGGTAAGAGAAAAAAGTCACAGTAGGCTACTTATTGCCTCTTACAGGCTTTACAAAGCAATATATTATCAAGTGAAATTATGTAGACTCTTGGAAGAACGATTTAGGGCTGTTATTGTCTCAGCTTCTTTCACAGAAGATATCCACTTATCCTAAAAGGTGACTTTATAAATGAAAGTTAGTAATGCTGTAACTCCTTCACTTATTCTCTGAGTAAAAAGAAATACCTTTTTTTAACAGCAGAGAGAGTAGCTGCATTTTCCTGCACTTTGTCTATCCACATCTGTTGAAACAATAGAGAGTACATACCTCTAAGTTTCTGCTTTGGTTCTGACTACTCTGAACTGTGTGACTGCTACATAAGGGAGGAAAAGAATGAATTCTCTATGGAGGCTGAGGATATAGGATGGTATCTCTCATTGAATTCAGGACTTTAGAGTCTTGGTCTATTTTTCTGCACATTACAAGTCATCTTTCTAGGAAATAATTGCTGATTACAAATTTTAAGATAGAAAATGCATCAGAACTGGGAACAGCTCATCAAAGAGACTCATGTTTTAACATAAATGATTCCATGATTCTGTGTTACAGATTAAGTTTTTGGCATGCAGTATAAGTTATTAAATCTATTGTGATGTTTCTGTGTTTATTTGTGCACATACTTATAAATACATACTAAACTGCAAAATGTGCATTGGCAACTGCTGTGCTATTTTAAACAATAAAGACCCTAAAGTTTCAGTTACTGAATCAAATATTCTGTCATCATATTGTTATTCCTCTGTGGCAACCAGCATGGACTAGGCAATATTGTTGTTCCGAGGCAAAGTTGACAATTTTTCCTGAAGAATTTCTTTAAGTTACAGCATAATGCAGTGATTCCATGTGAAAGCAGCCCAGTGTATACTTATACACATGCATGTAAATAAATCTGTTGAGTATGTTATTGACAAGCATAATTAAAGAATAACAATGCTTCATCTATTATTTACAAGGCTTTCTCACAAGCAGCAGCATGACAGAAAGGTTACCTGTGTGTTATCCAGCTACACAGGAGAAAGGGAGCAGATATGTTCTAGTTTAAAATGATTGCCTAATATCTCACTGTGTCACAGCTCTCTCTCAGAGCAGCTCTCAGCTGCCTGTGAGCTGGCTCTTCACAGTACGAACACAGTCACTCAGAGAGGCATGGTGCAATCTTCTGTCATTGTACACCCAAATTAAATCAGCCCTTGAAGAATTTTGACGTTATAGAGCCAGAAGAGGAAAGGGATGTTCTCTGAAACAGATCTGTTCTTCTTGGCTCTCGTAAGCCAATTCAAATGTTCCTCCTCAGCTATTTAATACAGCATTTGGTTTAGTTGCTTTTGTGCCTCCTTAATGCTACTCCTGGGAGGTGCCTGGAGTCACTCTGCTGTATGTTTGGGGTGTCTACAGCTGTATCCCACAAAAGCTGAAGATGAGCAGAAGCCAGAGGGGTAACTAGTGGGAGAGTACAGGAAGGCTAAAAGTATTCCCAGCTGGATAGGTGCTTTGTGCATTCTATGTTCAAATGCAAGCTGCCCTTTGGCAAAACCTAAGCTTATCTAAGATTTAAGGCTTAAAATAGGTTCTTTTCCTCTGTGTCTGTGATGAAGATTAGGTCTCTCATCCCTGCTGGAGCGCCTCAGCTAAATTTAACTCTGAGTTTTGGAAAGACTTGCTCATAGGATTATGGTACAGCTGTGGAAACTACTGCTGTTATTTTGGTTGAGGATTTGTAAGACAAGAGAAAATATGTATACAAAGAGAAAATATGTATTTATTTTGAAAAAAATATTTATTTAAAAAAAATATTCATGCTAGGGGGGATTACTGTAGACCTGAAGGAAGGAGTTACATATTTTCAAGGAGTTAATATTTTCAAGGAGAAAGTCTGCAACAGCACAGGTCAAAGCCAGCACTAATACAGAAGGGTAGTGCCCCCCTCACTCCATTAACTGTATGTCTGGCTAGAAACACAATTGACAAGCACATAGCAAGCTTTATGTCTTGCTTTCTTCTCAGACAAATGTAATTGCAATAAACTGCTAAGCAGTTACATTCTGGTATGGGAAAGCTGTGTGGTGTTGCTTACATTTGCTAATGCATTTTGATCATAACTTTATTTCAAGGTGTCTGCCTTTATTTCTTTTCCAGGTACAAGTCCTTCGCAATGCAGGGGAAGAAGTGACCCTAACTGTGTCCTTTCTGAAAAGAGCACCTGCTTTTCTCAAACTGCCACTGAATGAAGATTGTGCATGTAAGCCTTTATTCCATGACCAAAGAACCCTGAATTCAATGCCCATGAACACTTGCAGCTTCTGAAACTACAGTTCATTGAGGGTGATTGACAGCAGCTTTTACAATCAGCATAAGTGTCTAAATTTGAGTTGCTCCTATTCCCAGGGCTTGTGTTAACACTGACCTCAAGAGAAAAATTGCTATCTACGGTAGAAAAACAGATAACCAGACATTTGGCTGGTGTGAATCAGTAAAGTTACAGGTAAAACAGTCGAATTATATTAGTTTGCAATAGCTCACATCCTGGTACAGAGTATTTAAAATCAATTTTTCAGGCAGCATCAGCTAGTATTTTAGTCCCAGGGAGTTTTTTCTTGTAAATGTGAAAATGAGATTGTGTGTATATATTTAGAGAACTTTGCTGTTTAAAATTCAGAGGCTTTGGTGGAGATGTCTGTCTACCTAAGAATAAATTACTCTGGAATAATAAGTATTTTGTTTTAGTCCAAACTGAGTTTTAGTGAACTAGCCCCATGAGAGTCATATGGAGACAGCTGTCTTCCTTTAATTATATTAAATTGTAAGTGTGGATGCATAATTATAGACAATTGCGGCATATCTAACCATATTTATATATCAGCCTGTGCCTTTTGCCACCTCTGCTTTCCTTCTGCTTTTTGCTCACTAAGAGAATAAATTAAATTGCTCAAATTTAAAGCAAAAAACTATAAATATTTGATTTTAGTACTTATAGCCTTTGATTTTAAGTTAATAGGAATTAAATAATCTAAAATCACGAAATAGCATTTTATACAAACATTTGATGGAATATTGTCTTTTTCTTTTGCCTATGTATTAAATTTATATGAAACATGAAAAAATCACTATATTCTTAAATAAAAATACATCACAGTACTTTCTCCCTTTTATGAAAGGCTGTGGTACCACAAAGTAGCCTGAGTGATGCACAGGAATGTAATTTCCTAAACCATTACAAGAACATTTAGAACTGTAAACTCCACTAACAAAAGGGTTATCTGACAAATTCCTTCCAGTAAAAACCAACAGAGAAGGTACACACTTCCCTTTTATTGTCAAATTTCAAAGAAATGTTGTGGGTTTTTTTTTCTTACCAAGCAGAAATTAATTTTGTTTTAATCAAAGCATTGGAAAAGGTTTTCTTGAGCCTCCATTTAGCTTACAAAGGCAATCCACTCAAGCCAGAAAACAGATACTGGCTGAATGGAGAAAGTAAATGAATGTTATATATGATAGAAGTTTTTTGGGTTTGAGGAGAATTCATATGTGCATATACAAATTTGAATTATGTCATCATAAATTAACGAAGAATTTTCTTGTGAATTTGTACTTGTATTAGGTGCCCCCAGTGACCAAAGCAGTGGCACATCCTCTCCACTATGTGACAGTGGTTTGCATCTCAACTACCACCCCAACAACACGGTAAGAGCTTGAATCTCCTTGATGGAATTACACAGAAGAATAATTATAGTATAATAGCTAAGTGGAAATACTAATAAAGGACATTAACAGGGAGGAGCTCTAGTTAACTCTGGAGACATTCAGTTCTGTAGTGGGAAAAAAGAGTAGCCAGAAATTATGGCTGGGAATTAAAATGTGACAAATTATTACAGCTGAGATTGTGCCTTGATGCAAGTGATTACTGTTTACTTGGGCAGTAGGGATTTTGCAAAAGTTTTTCCTTTTAAATTTTTTTCTCTGCATAGGAATTAAAATTCTTAAAATGAAAATATTTCTATTTATAGAAACAGAAGAAAAGTTTTTTGAGAATATTTTCCATTACTTATATTGCGTGCAATATCTAAAGCTTTTGGCAAAAGATGATTAGGTGCATGTTTTTGCCTATTTTTAAGGTGAGGGTGTTTTACTTCTGGTAATGTGTACTTAAAATTTTACCTGAACTGGGATAACATTATGGAGCAGAGTGTCTCTGGGATAAAAGGCTACAGATGTCTGATCAGATATTTACTAAAAGACTTCTTTGAAGTGCAACAAGGGACTTAAAATTTTTTTCTTAGCCAGAAAATACAAAATTTCCTTTATTTTATATGGTTCTAAAGGTTTTTTTGCTCACTATTTGGCTTTGTGATAGATGGAAATAGAAAAATAAATAGAAAAATAAAATAAAAATATAGATCATAATTAAAAAAAAAAAATTAAAACCTGAAACATAAGCCATACTAAGCAGCCATTTCCAATTTCTATGTTGTTTTATTGTGCTTTCATATTTTTCTATTAAAGGTTTTAAATAGCAGCCCACAGATTTAAATATCAATACTACAGATATAAACACAATTGTAATCTGGAAAACCCTTGAGAATTATGCACATTTTAGGAAGTGGAATTTATAAACAGATAACATCAATAAAATTTATATCAAAGAACAATAAAAATATATGTAACTTGTGCAGCAACAACAAAAGCAGACTTGTCTCAGGAGTTATATCGGTATGTATGTCCGTGTGTAAAACGGCTATGGCAGTAGATCCTAAGCTGATTCATTCACCTAGCCACTACAATTCTAATTTTGCTTTTATGTTAAAAAACATGCTTTCCTTTGTGAATTCTTTTTTTGCAGGTGTCAAACTAATCTAGATGAGCTGTAGTTTCTATTTGAACTGACAATAATTTACTGAAACCAAGTGTTTTTCTTTCAGTTTAAAGAATATAATCTTGTATCACAAGCCTATAATTCACCCTCAATTAAATTTTCAAGTGAAGACCAAGATGTGGTTCTGACATGTTCCCTTGTCATGGGAACAGAGTTCTTCATAAAACCAAACCTTTGTATGAGTTCCTAAACTATGTACAACTCTTATGCCACAGCTCTTAATTTTTCACAGAATATTTTTTAGAAGGAATTATGACAGCTGGATAAACATGATTAGTGAGCAACTGGCTCATGGTTGGACCCGAAGAGTTACAGTAAACAGAGTGAATTTAGGTGACTGGTCACTAGTGGGGTTCTGCTGTATGTTAGGCTCAGGCCTCATCAACATTTTGATCAGTGACTGAGGTTCAGGACTGAAAGGGATACTAAGTAAGTTTGCGGATGATACAAAAATTTGGAGGAACTTTTGATTCCCTCAAAAGACGGGAGGCTTTACAGAGAGACGCTGTCAAATCTGTGGGCTGAGCAGCCATCAACCTATGAAATTTAACAAGGGTGAGCTGGATTCTGGGCCTGGGAGGGGCAGCCTCTGGATGTACAGGCAGGCTAGGGAAGGAGAAGCTGGTAAGCAGTGTCACAGAAAGGGACCTGGGGGTCCTGGTCGATGGCAAAGTGAACGGGAGCCAGCAGTGCCCTGGCAGCCAGGAGGGCCAACCCTGTCCTGGGCTGCATCAGGCACAGCATCACCAGCTGGGCAAGGGAGGGGGTTGTCCTGCTCTGCTCTGCTCTGCTCTGGGACTGCTTCACCTCAAGTGCTGGGGGCAGTCTATGAAACTGTATAAAAATAGTATAAAACAGGTACAAAGCTGTTAGAGAGCTCCAAAGGAGCTCAACAAAGATGGTGAAGGATCTGGAGGAGAAGCTGTATGAGAAGAGGTCACTTGTTCTGTGCAGCCTCAAGAGGAGGCTGAGAGGAGACCTCATTGCAACTTCCTTGTGAGGGAAAGAAGAGAGGCAGGCACTGGTCCCTTCTTCTGTGTGACCAGTGATAGGACCCAAGGGAATGTTGTGTCTGTGAGGTTTAGGTTGGGTATTAAAACAAGGTTCTTTGCTTAGGGGATGGAACACTGGAACAGGCTCCCCAGGGAAGTGGTTACAGCATCAGCTTCACAGAGGGCAAGAAAAAACTCTCAGGAACATTGTGAGATTGTTGGGGATGTCCTGTGCAGGGACAAGACTTGGACTTGATGGTCCTTGTGGGTCCCATCCAACTCAGACATTCAATGATTCTGTGAAGTACAGCCACAGTCCTGTTTCTAAATTTGTAGTCTTTTTAATTCACTTAAAGGAGGCTTTTGACTCAGAACTTGGAGTAGACAAGACTTTGGTCTTTTGTCAACAGTTTACAGAGTTATGCAGTCTAAAGGTAGGGTTAACATTTTTGTTGTAGCCTATATAGGCCATATCTAGGCCTACAGTTTGTACCTGAACTTTTACTGCTTTTCATCTTTTCCCCAAGTTTAATCACAGGTAAAGAAAGGTTCCCAGAAGCAAAGAGAAAACATTAAAAATTCAAGATGTTCAAAACAACATCCTAGCATAGTCTTCCTAGTAATAATTTATTTATTTTTATTGAATCTGTAGAATTTCTCAACAGAAATTCAGTGTTTCATTTTACTGATATGCTGATATACTGTCACTTGCTACTTGGGGGAAGAGGCCAACCCCCAGCTGGCTACAGCCTCATTTCAGGTGGTTGTAGAGAGTGATAAGGTCTCCCTGAGCCTTTCTTTCTCCAGGCTGAACAACCTCACCTCCCCCAGCTCCTTCTCACCTTCTTGTGCTCCAGACCATTTTCCAACCATGTTGCCTTTTTCTGGACATGCTGCAGCACCTCAACGTCCTTGTTGGAGTGAGTGGCACAGAACTGAATACAGCACTCAAGGTGTGGCCTCACCAGTGCCAAATACAGGGGAACAGTCACTGCCCTGGTCCTGCTGGCCCCACGTTTTCTCATCAGGATGCCAATGGCCTTCTTGGCCATCTGGGCACACACTGACTCATGTTCAGCTGTGTTGACCAGCACCCCCAGGTCCTTTCTCATCATACAGGTTTCTAGTCACTCTGTCCCCAGCCTGTAGTGCTGCCTGGGGTTGTTTTGGCAAAAGTGCAGGACCTGGAGCTTTGTCTTGTGAATCTCATACAATTGGCCTCAGTCCATTGATTCAGTCTGTCCAGATCCCCTTGTAGAGCCTTCCTACCCTCCAGCAGATCAGCACGCCTGTCCAACTTGATGTCAACTGTGAACTCATGGTGCACTTCATCCCCTCTTCCAGATCATCAGTATTAAATATTAAACAGTGCCGGCCGCAACACTGAGCCCTAGATAACACCAGCCATGACTGTCCACCAACTGAATGTATCTCCACTCACCACCACTCTCTGGGCTTCTCCATCCAGCCATTTTTTTACCCAGTGTATCCATTGAAGCCAGGAGCAGCCAGTTTCTCCAGGAAAATGCTGTGCCAAAGGCTTTACTAAAGTCCAGGTTGAGAACATCTACATCCTTTCCCTCGTCCAATAGATTGGTCACCTGGTCATAAATGGAGATCAGGCTGGTCAGGCAGGATGTGCCTTACATGAACCTTTGCTGGCTGGGCCTGATTCCCTGTTTGTCCTGTGCATGGTGTGGGATGGCACTCAGGATGATCTGCTCCATGACCTGCCCCAGGTCCAGCTGACAGGCCTGTAGTTCTCCAGATCCTCCTAATGGCCTGTCTTGTAGACGGCATCTTATTTGCCAACTTCCTGTCAATTGAGACCTCGCTGGTTAGCTGGGACTGCTGGTAAATGATGGAAAGTGACTAACTGAGCACTTGTGCCAGCTCCCTCACTATCCTTCTGTGGATCCCACCTGGCCACGTAGACCTGTGTGTGCCTCACTGCAGCAGCAGATCACTGACCACTTCCCCTTGGATTATGGTAGCTTCAGTCTGCTCCCTATCCCTATCTCCCAGCTCAGAGGTTTGCTACCAGGCAAATAACTGGTCTTACTATTAAAGATTGTGGTAAAGAAGGCATTAAATACCTCAACCTTTCCTCATCCTTTGTTGCAGTGAGAAGGCACTTTGAAAAATCGCGCTCTCTCAGAAAAATAACATCATCGTTAGCACTATTTTATAAAGCATTTTATAAAGAAAGAGATGTATTTTTAGAAACAGATGTTGATAATTTAACTTTTTATAAGCATTTTTCATGCAAATGTATATTCTTTAAAAATGCTTGTCAAATTAGATTCTAGACATTTAAATACTCATTCTTTGTAGATATGATCACATAAACATGATAAAGTTCAGTTTTCATATAAGCAATGTCTTCTGTAAGTAGGTAAAATTAAAATATTCATCACTTCAGCATGTAGTTTTGACAATTTTGACAATTTTCATCACATGTTAAATTCCATTCCCAATTACCATGTTTTGAGGTGATATCATTAGAAAAGATATGTATGTAAATGTGTACAGAGCCACAGGAAACTACTGAATTATGGTTGTATTGTGAATAATTGAGAGGTCCCATTCAGAATCTTTCCAGTGCTTACTAAAACTAATGATAAGTGACTTGGGAAAAATGGAACACTGCCAAATTAACTATAAGTCTTTGAAGTCTATCTCATTCTTTCCAAATCCGCTGAGTACTTACAATGAAGTTCAAAACTGAGAAGAACCTTTTAATGTTTTTCAGGATACGTTATCATGTTCCTCATGGCCAGCATCCCCAGGACTTAGGTGGGAGAAGAGGTGGTGTGATCTACGATTAATTCCACTTCTTCATTCACGATTTTCCCAGTACCTTCCAGGATCAGATTTGTGCAGGTAAAGAAGTTCTGAAGGCTGAAACTTGACTTCTTGGTTGACAGATGCCTGCCCTAAGGGGTTGCCTTGTTGGAGAAATTGCATTATTAGTTCCATGGCAGCTGACAGATACACGAAATATAGGAGCTTTCATAAAGGTCTTTCTGGGTCCACTTTGGCTCATGTTCTCCTCTGACATCAACTGGCCATGGTACATGAGGAGATGATGGGTGATCTTTTACTTGCATTTAGTGCTCAGCACCTTTTGCAGTTTGAGATGAAACATATGTCATCATAATTAATAGCTGCTAATGCTCCTGTCCTCAAAAGCTTCTTTCTAAGCAGCTTGTTTTTATATCTTTGATATTTGCAATGGATTATGGCATTGAGGTCTACAATGTGATTACATTTTAAAATGTATTTCCTTCTGTTTGTGTTAAATACATCATCTGATACCTACATTGGGTGAAATAATCTTGTTTGAGAGCAGCAAGGGCTGGCTGCCCCATGAGGAAGATAAGCCAAGAGAGAGGGTGGCAATGAGGCTGGACAAGGAGTAGTCCATGTAGACAAAGATCCTACCCCACTGCTCCCCATGGAGGAACAGAGAAGGCTTAGGGACAGTCTTCAGAGGGAGTCCATCGTGGTCAGGTGGGGCTGGGAAGTCAGCCTAGAGGTACAAATCAGTGGGATACATGTCCAGGCACAGGAGTGGCTGCAACCATACTCCGGTGAGGACCATGAGCAAGAGCCTGAGCTGATAAGAATCTCCCAGTTCTTGTACTTCTTTGTTTTATTTTTTTAGCTACAGTAGGGAGTTGTTGTTTTTGGTTTTGTTGTTTGTTTTTGTTTTTGGTTTTTTTTTTTTTTTTGGTTGGGTTTTTTTTTTTTTTTGTTTTGTTTTTGGTTTTTTTGGTTTTTTTTTTTTTGTTTCCATATAGCAAAGGTTATTTTTTCCCATGTTTTACTTTTCATGTGTTAACATTTAATTTCATTGTCACAACACTGGGATAGCTGTCCAAAGCTCATAGCCACTATGTGATGGGTTGACCATGGCTGGATGCAAAGTATCAGCCAAGTTTCTCTATCACTCCCCTCCTCAACAGGACAGAGGGGAAGAAAATAAGATTGAAATATTATGATGAGTTAAGATAAAGGCAGTTTAATAAAGCAAAAGCAAAGGCCACACATGGAAGCAAAAAAACCCAAAATATTTGTTCTCTACTTCCCATCAGCAGGTGAAGTTCAGTCACTTCCTGGGAAGTAGGGCTTTGGTGCACGTAGTAGTTGCTCTGGAAGACGAGTGTCATAATTAATTAATTCCCCTCCACACCTTCCTTTCTCCTAGCTTTCATTGATGAGCAGATGTCATTTGGTATAGAATATCCCTTTGATCAGTTTGGGTCATCTGTCCTGGCTATTTCCCCTCCCAAGATTTTGTTTCCCCAGCCTGTTGGTGAGGAGGGAATGTTGGAACAACAGCTCTGATGCTATGCCAATACTGCTTAGCGGTAGCCAAAACAGTGTTGTGCAATCAATATCTTTCTACCTACCCATACAAAGCACAACACTATGGGGGCTGCTGTGGGGGAAATAAAATTCATTTCAGAAAGACTCAGTCCAGACTTAGAACCTGACATTGATTAATTTAATATAATAATTTAATATTATCCTAATAAATCAGAAGAAATTAGGAGGGATGACAAGAATATTCTGTAATGATTACTGTTTGTAAAGCAATGAAATAGAAATGAAAGTAGCTACAAAGTCCAACAAGGCAAGTATATAAGATCATACTTGTTAAAACTTTTAAGCATGTAGCTATTGTGTGGATTCATTTATCATCTGTATATATAAAAATTAAGTTCTCACACTTAAATACTTCTGTGAGCTCTAGTATGGAAAGACATTAACTGTAGGAAAGCTGTGTACAGCTACAGAGCAGGTTACTCCATTATTTCTTCTAATGAACCCCTTAGGAGTAGATTTATGAAACCTCCAGAAACTTAGAGAAGAGAAATCTTCTTCAGTCTGTTTGGGATTTTTGTGGAGTTAATTTTACTGGTTTTTATTGGTATTCAATAAACATTTGAAAGTTGCACAAAAGCTGTGCACTGCCTTGGTTGGTTCTTAGGGCTGTTGTTTCTTAGAATTACACTGCCTAGGTCTGCCAGCCATTTCTCCTGTTCACAGAGCTGAAATTAATGCAGGTTAGGCAGTAGCTGTTGTAGATCATTGGAGCCAAAACCAGCCTGCAGCTTTTGACCAGTAATAGCAGGGCCATATTTACCTGGCTGCGTGAACCTTGGTCTGTGGAGGAGCAGTGGCTGGCCCAGGGAGGCAAGGTGGAAACCAAAGGCTACAAAGGCTTCTTGGCTGAGCTGAACTGGAGCAGGATCAAATGACCAGAGAGGCAGGAGGTGTTCTACTAAATTCTGTGAAAGCCTTCAGCATAAATGAAGCATAAAGCACCCAAAAGCATAACATAAAATCTGAGATCTATTCTACTGTGTACTTCAGATAAGGTATTGAATTGAATGGAATTACTCACATGGAAAATTAGCACATAAGCAGCTGTTCATAGATCTAGGGTTTTAAAATTCAGTCTTCTGCATCAATAAAAAACAAGCTTAATATTTATATTATAGAACGTGTACATAACACGTTAATGTAGTAATGATATACCTGAGATCTGAACTTCTAGAAAACAAAGGTATATTAGTATGAAACAAAATACCTGAACTCATACTCAAACCTTGAAAAACTCCTCTGATATTTTTTCCTTTTGTCCTTCTGTTCTAACATGAAGAAATAAGTATTAAAAAAAACCAAAAATGCAGGATGTGTGTGAGAGAGAGGGTTTTTCTTAAAGCATAGAACCAACATTTTATGTTGCTAGCAAGAGAGTTTATGCAACTATTTTAAATTACTGGAAACATTTTTAAATGTTACTCCCTCTCAGAATTTATTATGAGAGATATGTAGATACTTTTTTAAGGGACTGCTAGAAACATCAACATAAAAGAAAGGATATTAAAAATAATATAAGGAAGCAACATGAAATGAAAGCTAATGTATTACCTTTTCCATAGTTAGTATTTACAAGGCTGTTTTTGCTATGTAAAGCCTAATAACTTTTTATAATTCAGTGTTTGATATGTAAATATATTGTTCTCACATACAATATTAAACCCCATAGTCATGTTCTAGCTTTTCCAGTGGAGTGGTTGAGACACATAAATTCTGGAGGGTATTCATACAGAATTCTAGAAGGCATTCAGGTTAGTCTTGCAAAGCTTAATTATTTCAAATATAGCTTTTGTGTTCCAGAAGGCCCAGAACCTGAAACGTGTAGTTGAATAAGTGTTTATCCATTCTCACTTTTTTGGTGTATTATAAAGTGATTATTCTACTATCTCTTCCATTTAGTACAAAACATCTATTTAATATGTTTTCAGGTTTGCATGTTATTATGGACTTGGGCTGGTATACATATTCGAGAAAATACTATTACAATAATCTAACGCCAAGACATATCCACAAGTAATTTATTAGGTGACCATGTATCATACTATTGATATTTGAGTAATTTGGAGTTGATACTTGGGTAATAACATTATGGATGAATGATCCATGCAAACTGCAAGTACAAACTTGCACAGATCAAATTCCTAGGAACAGTAGGAACAACCTGATGCCCCAAATGCACCAGATTCATTGTGTTTGTAGTCCAAGGGAAATATGTGGATGAGGATTGAATCTGGAACATACTGGGCTTTTTGTACTTGTGCTAATGTTACTCATTAATAGATCTTTTAGATCCCTGCTTTGATTTATTATATACTGTGTAGAAACAAGGCAAGTCCTGAAATTAGTGTTATTTTTCTTAAAAGAGATAGTCAACAATTTTGAGCCCATGTTATGGTCCTTGTGTGAGGATTTAGAATTTATTCTAGAAAAATTGGCTATTTCTATTTACAGCAATCTAAAATAAAGGATAGAATAAATAAATGCTAGCAGCACTACCTGAAGTTTCTTTTAATATATCTTCCTCAAAATTTTACTGCAATTACTGTGAAAATGAGTCTGAAAGAAGTTTGTCTTGGTTTGTTTGTTTTGTTTTGTTTTTTTGTTTGTTTGATTGTTTGTTGGTTTGGTTGTTGGTTTGGTTTTTGGTTGGATTTTTTTTGTGGATTTATAGAAAAATCACTACACCTGAGAAAGAGAACTAAACTTCTGGATTTAAATGAACTGAAGAACTCTGAAAGAGCATGTTAATATAAGCTTCATTATCCTGAAAAAAGCTGGTTCTCATGCTAGAACACTCAAAGCAAAGGCAAGGCTCTAGTTCATTTCTGTTGCTTCTCCTGACTGAAGAAACAGTCTGTTCTCAACATGGATAGAGTGAAGACAAATATTAGCCTTACATTTAATACAACTAGAATAAAATTTTAAGAGGTAAAAGACACCAAACAAGCAGCTTTTCAAAATTGATATCTGTCTTCAGGTGCCAGATGCTGTCATTAGTGACACTCAGTTTTACTCTGGAGATAACAGGCACTTTGCCTGAGCCATTTTCAAAGCATCTGAATGATGGAGTTAATCTTAACTATGAATTGAATTAACAGTTGGACTTGTAGCAGAATGTCAGCAGTGGAACTTGGTGTTCTCTGTATGTTCACTAATCTCCTGTTCTGGGATATGGATTATTATTGAGGTTTTTCAGTTTTGAAGACAGAGACCTGTGAGCCTTACAAGAGCTTTTAACAAATAAAGCAATTTACTGAAGAAATTAGATCTGTTACTGCTTTGGCATCTGAAAAATTTTCTCTTGTTCTAGAATTGCTCAGTGTCTGGAAGTGGAAAATCAGTATATAATGCATGATAGATTTTTGTATATATGCCCAGATTGGTTCTGGGGGTAGAGGCAGAGGTAGGAGTGTATTTTGGTAATGATCCTGTTTTCAGAAATGCAGTTGGAAAGATGATTAATGCTACTTGATCAATTTTTACTTCTCCAATTTTTCCATCAGTAGTTTAGAAAAGAAGCACAATCCTATAAGCTTGAGCAGCCAACAAGGGGACTCCAGACAGTAATCCAAAAGTGTTTAGACACTGTATTATAAAAATAAAACAAAGGTGTTGAGAAAACATACTGGTGTTCATTGAATTTGCCAAATTATTGCCTATGGTTTCTAATGCACTTTCCTTCTCTGTAGCCTGCTGTATTAAAGTATTAAGTCTTAGATAAGCATTAACTCTATCACTTGTTCAGCTTCTGAGGTTGTACAGCCTGCTGGTCAAGTCTGTGGAGCTGGTCTATGGATTTTTTATAGCCTTATGGAAGTTTAATATTGTCTGAGTTGTCCTTTTAGCATGATTGTTTTAATATGTCAGGTATTTATAAAACAGGAAAAGCAGCATTTTGTCAGTGTTCACTGGCTGACCTTCATTGTAGTTGAAAGGAAAACATTTTTACAAGTATTGTTAAGATGATATGCTAGAAAAGATAAAATTTTCTTCTGACCTGATCTGTTATGATATGTCTATAGGCAAAATGCGTTCCAAGTAATTGCTGTGGATGGGGTTTGCAGTGGAATAATTCAGTGTCTTTCTGCTGAAGACTGTATTGACTGGCTACAAGCAATAGCAAGTAACATTTCCAACCTCACAAAGCACAATGTAAGTATGGATCCAAGTAAGCCAGAAGGTTTCCTAATCATATTTGATTATAACTGTCATAAAAGCCTAATGGGTTCACACACAGAATTATCTGCATATAAACAATGCTTGAGGCTGTTTGAGAGAAGTCAACTCAAGTTTGTTGTCAAATCAGACTCTGTGAGAAACCATTGAATAGGAAAATATTCTTCCCTACAGTCATATAATTCACTTTGTTTCTATCAGAGTTATTCGCTTCATAGCTATGCCAGTTAGGATTAGAAGCAAAGACCAGACACACAGGAGGAAGCCAGGTGTGGTGCAGGAACACATAGATAATACAAAAATTCTGTACTTTCTTCATAGTACATGTCTACAGAAACAGGTATAACCAGATCTGAATTAGATTTTAGGTCCGTCTAGGTGTCATTTATTGGGATGGGAAAGGCAAGGTGCTTCTGTGGTGTAGATACAGACATTTGTTATCAGCAGTGATTAAATGCATTTATGCCTCATGCACGGCACTCTTACCATCTGAACTTGTGGGACAGATACCAATTTTTGTTGAAGCAGATATAAATGTTCTGTAAAAGTTTTTTCAAATACTCAGTTCTATTAAGAGGTCTTCTGGACCTGCCTGGAATGTATTTACATTTAAAAATGAACATGTAGTTCTCCCTGTATAGAAATATGTATGATACCTTCCGTGGTTTTCCTAAAAAACTGAGAACACCTGGGGAACTCCATTATTTTGAATTGAGTTATAGCAAGGAAGCCCTTGAGGATTTAATTTATATTTCCTTAAATCTGCTTTGGCTTCCCGAATCTGTCTCTGAATTTTCTTTTGTTTCAAATAGGGAACACATTGAAGGAAGATGTATTTTTTTGAGATTTATAATCAAGATGCAAAACTGTGTTCCATCTGGCAGCAATATGTAAAAGTCATTGTATTATAAAAACATGACAGACATGAATTCATCTGCCATCTGCAAGCTTCCATGCTGTACCAGCGAACTTTATGGCTATTTATTCATACTTAAAATGCTGTTGCTATGTAGAACTTTTATTGTCTTGCTAGGCACCCTGACATCTGAAGCTTCTGGGTTTTTTTCTCTTGCCATCTTTACTTCAGTCTGCTAATGGTTCTTGCTACTTAAATCGGTGGATTTATTTGCTTGTAACAGTAGGCAGAGGCACCTAAATTTTACAGGTGTTTTGAAACACTTCAGCTCTGATGAGACTATAATTATGGTTACTTATCATAACTTGAATTTTGGCAATGCAATGTTATTACATGAATTTTTTTCTGAGTACAGTTTATAATTCTACACTGGTTTCCATAAAATACAGAAAGAAATTATCTAATGTTTTCTAAGAGGTAAATAGCCTAAATTATGCAGCTGTTATGCCAGTCTTTGTACTTACTTTACCCCAAAGACATCCTGTAAAGTAGCCCTGAGAGTTATGGCTTATGATAATTATCCATGTGTCTAATTTTAGAATTGTCCTATTTGTTCATAGCTCTTACAAATTTATGGAAAACTATGACACTCTCCTTCCTGTAATATACTTTTCTTTTAAATTGTCAGTTGCCAGAAAGAATTAGTTATTTGACAGCACAAGTGATAAGTGAATATAAGAAACCTTAGGAACATAGAGAGGAAAAAAACCCAAACTGTTGCACATAAGAATGATTAGATGTGATTAGAGGTCCCTGTATTTTTTTTTTCCTTACAAGATGGCTATTGACATGCACATACTGTTGATGTTAGCATTTTTCCTATCTGAGAGAGGCATTTACTCACAGTCATTCTCCCTTATTGTGTCATCCAGAGCCAAAGAAGCAGAGAGAGTTAAGGATTTTTTCCTAAGTCTTTGGATAAATTGACCAATTTTTAGTTTCAATTAACTTCTCATTCCTATCTAGAGGTTACAGAAAATTATTTGTTTAATTAAAATACCATGCAGCTCATATAAATATTGACTTACATCATGTTTCTCATATCTATCTGCATTTTGTAAAAAAAAAAAAAAAAAAAAAAAAGAAATAAAAACAGAAAAAAGGACTATAACAGCTAGATTGTTAATGAAAGCACTTCCTTTACCCTGGATCAAATCTGGGCTCTGTACATTTTGGTGGGATTTCTCTTGCCTAACTTCAAATGTGTTAAAGCAGAAAATCTAGAGTGAATCTTATTATTTACTGTTGACATCCATTTTATAATGAAATCAATTCCCTCAGGCATGTCTGTCTTTCCTTTGACTGGTAAAGGACCCTAGGGTGGTGAGGTCATGCTTGATACCTAAGGAGATAGATATATATCCTGATAACCTGTCATTTGTGTCTTTGAGAGTCCAAAGCGAGTTTTTCTGAATAAATCTCCCAAAGAAATGCCTGGATATTTTTGAGAAAAAAAAAAAAAAAAAGAAAAAAAAATAGGTGGTATACTAGTCTGATTCAGAAAATTTGAATTATTTTACTTTTTCACACACAAACTGGCTGAAAAATATTATCTGATGGTTCAAACCCCAAAAATGTGAATAACAAGTCCCATGTTGCCACATGTGTCTAACAGTTTTGAATATGGGTCCCTGACTCCAAAATACCTTGTTGAACCTATAATCAATTCATATTTTCTAAGGATATTGTCAAAAAACTCTTCTCTCATGATCCAACATGTCCATATCTGACACAAACCTGATGCAACTGAATTCCAGGATCAGCAGTATAGCCAGTATCTAACAAGGATATAACAGAAATGCAGAAGTAGAAGCTAATATAAAATGCCTTGACATGATCTCCATTTTTGAAAGGCAGTGTTGCTGACTGAATGGAGTCTGGAAGATGATGTCTGCAAGCAAACACATTTTTCCTGCATTGGTTATACTACTAATCATTTTACAATACAAGCTAGAACTCATATTATTATGCAAAAAGACAGTTAAAATTTTAATGCAGAGATATAGAAATTATATTTTGACTTTTAAGAAGAGATCAAAAAATCCATGCACTGACTGATGTAGTTTACTTAATTTCAGATTGTCTTTCACAGAGAAACCTCAGATATGCACTAATTTTCTTCATCTTCAGGAGCTTAGCACAAGCATCCTCTAGTGTTTTAAGGATACTGAGAGTGATACTGCTAATTTTAATTTATTTTGGTCCCAAGAAGCTCATATTTCATATAAGATGAAATACATTAAAATTACACAACATGAATGGGTTTGTATGCTGGTGTGCAACCAAAATGCATACTGTATAAATGCGCTGTTGGAAGTGACTTAATATCACACTGTAATTGATGAGGTGATGAATCTATAAGGATCATTCATTTCTGAAGATGGATTCCTCTCCAACTTCAGTCACTTGAATTGCATCTGTGTTAAAAATTCACCAGTTTTATCAGTACCCTCAAAAACCAGAAGGGTTATATTAAACCTGAACTTTTTGTCAAGCAATCCTGATACTACTGAAGTTAATGTGTCGAAATCTGAATATGCTAAATTGAACCTGGGCTTGGAAACTAATTTCTCTATGAACTGATGAGGTTCTACATCTTTTTGTTGCCAATTTGGATGGCTGGCAAAAGCCATTTAAAAAGGGAACAAGCTGCTGCTTCTTTTCTTGCTAATGCTCCAAGTAGGAATTTTCAATTCAGTTGTTCAATTCAGCTGTGAACTATTTGCCTTTCCATGAACTTTTAAATTATATTAAGTTAGCTGGTAATTGATACTGATTTCTATTCCTTTACATCTCTTTTTTAACAGAATTTTAGGATGACAGTATACAATTGGTCACATGGCTTTTAAAGAAATTATACTCTGTAAGAGTCTCAGAAAATAATCCAAAACCATGTGCTCTGTAAAGAACCACCTGTTGCCAATACATCCCTAATTCATGTGCTGCAATTGTCAGGAAATTCAAAGGCAAATTTTGTAATGGCTTTAGTGTAGTGGAAGTCAGGCATTTTAGGTCTTTCTAACAAAAGAATAATAAAACAATACATATTTGAGTTTGCAACTTCTGTGATATAGCTTAATAGAATTTTTGGGGATTTATCCTCATAACTCAGTATTTGTCACTTGTTCATTGCTTTCTCTGTGGCAGATTTTTCTATAGTGAGGGCAATAATATTTCTTTTGCCTTTCCTCTTCCATAATTTCTGTGAAAAACATTGCAACAGTTAACACATTTATGCTTTTTACCTTGGAGCCAGCACTTGACAGCAAAGAAACAACATGAACTTCATCAGACAGGAATGACAGGCAGCTGAGGTAAAGTTTCTAACCAAGAGGTGGCAAAAAGTTTTAAGCTTATCTTCAGAATATCCACAAGATCGTACAAGACTTAGTTCACAGTAACTTCACTTTATCCCATTATATTGCATTTTTCTGGGTAAAATAACTCATTTGTGAAATTAATGAGGCACACATAGTTGATGGGAGAAGAACAGCAATAGCATGAAAGGTGGCATTAAGCGGTCTACAAACCAGGTATTGGCCCAATGGTTGTGTTTACCAGAACCTAAGCCTTTGTTCTGAAGAGTTTAAAAGTTCAACTGAACATTTTTGGTGTGCTTAGAAAGTAGTGCCTAGTGAAAGAAACTGCTGCTAAGACAAAAAAAAAAAAAAAAAAAAAAAAAAAAAAAAAAAAGAGAATACCTTATATTTATTATTAAATTATATCATTATTAAATGATATACCTTATCTTTACAATGCTGAAGTTTGGGAACAGGGATTATTTAAGTCACTAGGTAGAAGAGGAGACAAAGAGTGAACAACAGGAGAAAAAAACTGGTTAGACTAATACAATCTGTTCCACTTGTAGGAAGAATAAAATATCACAGGACTACATTCAGTGTAAGCAAATTATTGAAAATAAATTAGTTTCTTTTTTTTTTTCTGGTGGATGCTACGACCAGTAAGAATATATTGTAGAATGTTATATTACATTAATAAATCAATATCACTCAAATGAAGTAAACAGATTTAATATTTAATTTTTAAGTTACAGTACAAT